TTTGAGCTTTAGCTAAGTAATTTAAAACTGATCAAAATACATAAATTATTCTAGCAATTTGAAATCAAACTAAGTTTTTAAAACCAGGAAAAAAGAAAACACTAGCAAAGCAGTAGTTCGGCAATAGTGTTGCAGATGCTCACTTTTGAGCAGGAAAGAGCTGAAGAATGGAGTTAAACATGCCACTAGGTCTTTTAGGAAACAAGAAAGTAAAAAAATATATAAGCTAATCACTAGCTATAAAAATCTTTCCCTGAATCAATTCGTGTTTAATGAGAATTAAACTATGTTGAAAAATCATAAAACATGGCATCTTTCCTGTTCAGATTTATACTACATAAAAAGATAAACCTATTAGAGATATCTGTTTAAGCTAATTCTTTATGACTTACAGTGCAGCTTTTAGTTAGCTAAAAGCTTATAAAAATTACTCAAGGTTTCTAAGCAGACCCAACTTAATATAGCCAGAAAAAAAAAAAAAAAAAACAGACATGGCTTTGGGTGTACAACACGTTTTCTTAAAGGCATTTAAAAGACATCACCACTTCTTACAAACTCTGCCTCCCCAACTTCCTTAACAATATTGTTGTACCACAGCTGCAATGATATACTGTAAAATATGTGATGTGTAACTGAGAAACATGGCTCAGGCTGCCATACACAGAGAAGTTGTTTATGCAGTCCTGGGCTGAATGCATCCAGGAAAAGCTTGAGGGAAAATTCACATAACAGGTAGCCTCATCAGGTGGTTTGAAGGACTATGAAAAGCTAACTAAGAAGTTTAGCTTCCTCATCATAATAAATCCTATTTGTAATCAATGAAAAACATCTTAATCCTTTCCTGTTTAGTGTGGAAAATGAGGGGAGCTTTTTGGTTTATTAGAGAGATGTATTATGAGTTAAAATTGATAGACATTTTTAACTTACCCACCAAGTGTACTAATAGTCTTTACCAAAATTACTTCAGTCTTTCCATATCTGTACGAATGAGATACTCCCACTTCTACATAGGAAAACTGGGCACAGAGTGATCTACTGATTGCAAGACACACTTCATGCTTGATACTAAAGACTGGCTCCACGGATCAGCTTGTTCAGCAATCCGCATTACTATTGGTCTTGCAAAAAGCACTGATTGGGCAAGCACAGGCAAGATGTGGAATTTCAACCTACTTGAACCGCAGGTAAATCTAGTGGTTTTACTGCACTGCCCTGTACATCAATAATTTTCAAGGTCCTGTCTTATTTTGACCACTAACACTCTCCAACTCTCTGTATTTGCCAGACACTTCTCCATGTCTCAGAACATTTAAACTGAAAGAGTTCTAACGTGCTATGTTATGATTGACTATTTCACACTATTGTTTCCACTATTCATTGGAAGTTCGAAGGAAGTTATATTTTATGTCCTTTGAAGCTGTTACTTTAAGCCAAGTTGACAGTGTTCATAATATTTCAAACAAGCTGACAGATTGTCCTGCTAATGTGCACTGTAAATGCACATGTACATGAACCTTAAAGAAAAACCATGCACTGACAAAATAACATACGTGAGAAAATAACACAGATTTATGACAAAACGAAAAAATCCTCTGAGGCAGGTGATTATAATGGATCATGATCATGCTGAGGAAGTTTGGAGAAAGGCAAGGCAGAGCTGGAATGCATTTGGGTAACTTCAGCCTTAGCAAGTTACCAATGTCAATGTCATGAAGATAAAAAAGTCTTCCTCCAAAAGTTCCAAAAGTGATTTTACTCTCACTACATGCAGCTGGGAGATTTGGAATTGCACCAAAAAAACAGTGGAAGCAGAAAACTGAATGAAAACTCTCATGGTGTGCATTACTAGTCAGAACTAAAGAAGGGAATTGATCACACACTAAAACAATTTCTTAGGCACAACAACGTAATTAAAAAAACCAGATACTGAGGTGGCTCTAAGTGGCTTCAAAAAACAACTAACTCATGACCCTAACTTACAACAAAGAGCTACTTTGACTTCAGTGGGTATGATAAAATATGGGATAGAAAAGATCTATTTCTTTCTAAGAAGATTTATTTCTTTCTAAATATAAAAAATATATATATTCAAAGAATTATTTAATCATACCATTCTGGACCACAGTGGTGATGGGGCCACCACCACCACACAACAGGCTGATTTTTAATTTCTTTGCCCTTTGCCTACACATCAGTAGGATTCCCGTAGTCATCTGTAAAGCTATCAAGTCATGCATGGAGCAGAGGATAATAAACCTCTGACCAGCTGTCAGCACTATGGCCACAGCAGCAAGGAAGATTTCTGGGAGTTTCATCAGGAAGCTTCTGCCACCTTGTAAAGTGGTATGGTCTTTGTGAACCCCCAGAGGAAGAGTGGCTTCCTACCAGCACTGCAGCAGTGTGCCTGCCTCTACTGAGTGCCCCTTTTGCTCTAGGAAAGGGCATTAACAGACCCTCCTTCTTAAACACCTTCCTGAATCTGTCCTTCCTCCTGCATATGTGCCTAATCCATAGTATAAAATAATGATGACAGAATCATTCCTAACTGATCAAGGACAAGAGATTACAGCAACTATTTTCTGCTTTCAAACACTAGTGATTTTTGTTAAAGACTCAATAGAGACTTCTAAAGTTAAAGACAAATGCTGCCATAAGTTCGACTTGAAACAGAGCTGTACTATAGTGCAGCAAAATCTGTGTATACAGCTCTACACTTGTTTCAACAAAGTCAAATGATATTTGCTGGATGGGAATTAAAAAATCTCTTCTTCAAAAATCAGAAGTTAGTATTCCTACTACTTATTTCTTCAAGCAGCTTAACCCTCATGTCTTGATTCTCCACAGCTTTACCTACTTTCCTGTCACCTACAGTTTGTACCCCCAAAATTGCACCACTTCATCATGACTTAACATTTTCTGTTCACCTTTGTGAGCATCTCTGCATCCTCTCAAGCCAGTAAGTGCTTTCATCATTCCAGTACAAGAGTCAGTCCCATCCTCCTCTTTCTAAATCCTACTTCGAACACATGTTGCTTTTTAATTTTTTTTTTCTTACCCCTCCCCCATGCCCCAAATGTAAGATGAAGGCTTTTTCTTTTTTTAATTATTTCATCAAGACTCCTTTTGACACACCTGATTTTAAATATACAAAGACATTTCCAGAGGGTACCAGCAGTTTTAGATAAGAATGCCATTAAAAAAACCCCAATTTACACTGCTCCTTTACACAAAAATCTTGCATGTTTCTTAATGACACCAACAAAAGCAAAGACAAAAATTCTTTACGTTTTAAAAATACAAATCCAAGGACACTACCAACTTCAGTTCCACTAGGAAATCACTGTGTTGCATTGTTATACAGGGATCACCAGTTGGAAATCGCACAAGATGCACAGGATATATCTTTAAATTATTCATAATCACCTTAAACTGCACTCAATCAGCACTGCAATATGTCATCTTATAGACACAAAAAAATTCAAAAGGAAAAGCACATGAAAAAGCAGACTACCAAGAGCACTATTGTTAAAACTACACTAGAAAGCTTAATATTTCAATACTGTATATGTTAAAATAAACAACATACACAGGTGATGAAAGCCAGTCTCTGAAAAATTTATTATTCTGTTAGAACAAGTTTACACTTAGGATGAATTCTCAAGCTTCATGCCATTAGGAAGTTTTACTGGGTTTATAGTGGAAATAAAAACAGAAATAAAAATAGATGACAATCCCAAAATACAAGCTGTACTTTGAATATGATCAACAGGCTTTCTTTTCATTTTACAACTATATATTTCCTCTTGCCTCCAGCAATCAAATTTTATTCAATCGTCATGAAAAATTCCCTAAATTGCCTGTTTTCCTTTTTAAAATCAAATGTTTTGAAAGATGAAGTTGAACAGACTAATGTAACTTGTATTAGTTTAGTATTGTTTCCCCAAGGCATGCTATTGGAACTGTACAGATTTCAAAGATCTATGATGTTAGTTGTATTCAAAGGATCCTGCCCTGCCTCCAGCCCCATTTCCCTGTAATCTTACTTTGGCTTTCAAAAAAACTGACCTTAACCTCATTTTCTTCTCCTACGCATGCCATAAGTACTTATCCCACTGAAGTGAAAGGGACTGGGCATCAATTCTTTGAGTAAGATGGGCATAAGGGAGATATGGATGATTATTAGGATGATTAATTTTAAAAGCGGTAAAGCTTTCCCTGGTGACTTTGCGCTCAACATTGCAAAATTAAACTCTTAGAACTGGACTGGTTTGTAAACTATAGTACACAAAGCAACAGGGAACACCAATTGCACTAAGCTTTGAATTATGAAGTAGTAGCAAGAATTGTACATATTCTTTGTCAGTTAGATTCATAACTACTGGAAATTGAATTTAAAGTTCAATATGAACAGAAGAAATTACAGAGTACAATTCATAATTTTAAAGCATTTGAAATCATTCCCATTCTGATTCTTTCTGACCACACTGCTTTTACATAAATTGTTCAAATTTCCCTCAGTGTTAATTTTCACACATTGGACAATGTAACAACATTTGGCATTTAGTGTGCAGCATTACCCTTATTCTCACCCAACTGGATGCTATTCTCCTCTGCCTATTATCTGGATGAATAACTGATTTCAGTATGAAATTTTGTGAGTTATTGCTTAATGTATTCAATATCTCCAATAAAATATGGAAGTATACATTTTTAATTACATAAGAACCAACAAGAAATTATATATGGCCACCTTTTTTTTTTTTTTTTTTTTTAAAAACCAACAGCTAATAGTTTCCTCAATGTTTTGAACTGAATAGGAATACACTGAATGATCAGTTGTAGAAAGGCAGAAGAAATATTAAATTTTGCCTAAGAGTTACATAGTTTTCAGAGGGGGGGAATAAAATGTAGGTATAAAAGTACCAAAATTGATTTATCAGCTTCAACATTCAGGACTTGATATATTAGAAGCATATATTGTTATCAAATACTTGACTTACACTCATATTCCTATCCCAGATCTGGATGGACCCATCTTGACAGCCAGCTGCAATGAGTTTACCATCTCTGCTGTATGTGCAAGTTGTAGGAATCACCCGTTTACCTTGGACTGATCGTGGTTTAAATACACTTTTGTGCTTTTTTTCGTTATTAACATCCCACGTCCTCACAGTTCTGGAAAAAGGTTAAAATAAAGAGCTGTTTTAGACAAAGTTTATACATATGAAGTAATTCTTACGATACAATCAAACACATTTTTCAGCATACATGGCATATAATATTGTTCAAATATGGTTGTAATGGCAAAATAGTATTTAAGATATGGTACCGCAGTCATGAAACTAACATGACAACTTTCCAAGTAAGAAATATCATATTCACTAACAAGCATGGAAAGGTTAAAAAAAAAAAAACAAACCACCTCTCTTTTTCCCAACCTCTCATGTGAATACATCAAATTATTTACAACTGGACAAACAAACAAAGGTTAATATGCAGGAATGACATAGTCCCCACTGTCACTGGAAATCAGGAAGATTAAAGTACTCAGTCCTTTACAAGAATAAAGGAAAACAGGCACAAATGCTTTTACAAATTCATTAACTAAAATGATTGTCTCAATTGTTTTGACATGACAACAACTGCAAACCCGGTTTTAACTGGCAGTATTGCAGACTAGCTGGTTATTCTTCAGGCTTTATTTTGAAAAGGCATTTTAAACAATTAATTGCAATTTTATTGTGGTTCTTTTCCATTAATCCTGAAGGTCCTATAGGTCTGTTATAAAAGTGCTCTTCAAGTATGTTACAAAGACTCTTTTATGTAATATTGTTTTTTCAAGTTGAGTTTTTCCTACATTAATAGCAATATAAATACATCCTTTTTCTTTCTAAGGGAAAAAGAATATCTGCTTGAATCTTCAATGTTTCTTAGATACACAAAAACATCCAAATGAGAGAGAACTAAAACACTGAGATACAGGTGGACTTTTTAAACTGTCTTAGATACAAATGTTTTCTGTCCATTTAACACGTTGAGTTCATTCCAGATAAAAATTCAAAACTCTTCTGGCATCTAATGTAGAGAAGAGTTTCAGGACTTGGCAAAGGAAGGAAGATCATTAATTTAGAAAGAAAAAAATCACCAAGTTCTCAAGACAACCTCATTTGTTTAGACTACACAAACATTGCCTGTGATCCAACAGCATGTAATTCACTGGTCTCTAGCAAAGCAAATACCACTTTAACAAAGGCTGCCATCTCTCCAGAACAAGACAAGACACCGCATCATAACATTAGGAACTCCCATCAGAGCTACGAGACCAGACAGGCTACAGAGCTGACATATATATAATTCTAGGATAAAACAGACAAGAAAATGAGCTGGAAATAGCTCACAGAAGTTACATTTAATAGCACATTTAATGACAGGAATGAAAAATCAGTAACTGAATCTCCAGTTGACCATAATAAAGTCAAGATTAGTCTCATTTTCAAAAGTGTTCAAATCTCCTATCTGTAAGGCATCACTTCATTGCTCTATTTGGAGCTCTACCATAAGACATTCAAGCGTTCTGAAGGTTGGTTTGGTTTTTTGGGGTTTCTTTTTGGTTTTTGGGTTTGTGGTTTTGTTTGGGTTTTGTGTTGGTTTTTTTTTTTTTTTTTTTTAATGAAACATTAGATTCTGATGCCTTTTCTAGGGTCACTTAAATAAATGTATGCTGTTATATGTTGCCCAGCAAGGTTACAGAGTCACCTTTCTTGGAATTATTCAAAACCTGTATGGACATGGACATGTGCTCAGTGCCTAGGTGATCCTTCTTTGAACAGGATGGTTGGATTACAGTATCTTCAAAGGTCACTCCCATCCTCAACCATTATGTGATTCTGAGATTCCCCTTTTCCTCTGCATGTGTTGTCAATAACTATCTCTGGCTCCTACCTTTCAACAGGCACATTGACACTTCCCCTCATTATGATATGTACTCAAAACTTGAGTCTTTTTCCAGTCCCTTTCCCTCATAATATTCAATCCTTCCAGAATCTCATGTGAATATCCTGTACCTCCAGCTTCTCTTCCTTCTCTTGTGATGAACATTTTCTGCTGGAAAGCTATTTTCTCTTTTACAGTGCGAGTTTCCCAAGACTGCCTTGGCACACCCACTTCTCAGATGGTGTACCCAGTAACATGGTTATGTGCAAGGAAGTTTAGAGCCTGCCTCCCCCTATTTATTTGCCTTTTTATCTAAGATGCCTCATAAGCACCTCAGCCACAATTCCAAAAACAATCTCTGAGAATCCTTCACCATCCTAATTCTTCATTTCTGCTGTAAGAGAAATAATTTTTTTAAAGCCTTTAAAGCCTCTTTTTAGGGCTCAATGTCCTGTCAAAACCTTCAGTCACTTCACAACACTATAGAGCATATTCAAGCCTTCTTAATCACTTGATCTGTCAATGTAAAGAAAAAAAGTAACATTTGTCTAGTTCTAGCTCTTATAACACAGATCTAAAAAAATTAGCCCTAAATCAACTGTCATATCAGCAGGTCAGACAAAAAATCCAAGTTTCCTGAGCTGCTGCTTCTGCTGCAGACAGTTGGCCAGGCTTCCTCACATAAGAGCTACATGGCCTGTTATAAATGATCACATAGCCTATAGTATGTTTAATATCCCCTCAAAATTTTCTTAATGTCCCCATGCTGAATGTGTGTTTACTGTTGCCTTGCTGCTATTGGATCTAACTATAAAACTTTTCTACTGAAAAGAAATACTTTAGAAGAAATCATTTATATATTACTTACAAATTAATCAATCATTTCCAGAGAGCCCTTAACTCTTGAGTTAAGACTGAACTCTTTAATCTCCTTTCATATCAGATCTTTTAAGTATTTTTATTCTTTACAGAAACAATTCCAATTTTTCTTAGAAAGTGGACATTGTTTTGAAACTCATCTCATAATACCATGGTGTCCTGGTTTCAGCTGGGACAGAGTTAATTTTCTTCCTAGTAGCTGGCATAGGGCTGTGGGTTTGATTGAGAAGAAGACTGTTGATAACACACTGATGTTTTAGTTGCTGAGCAGGGCTTACACCAGTCAGGGACTTTGCAGCTGCCACTTCTCTGCCAGGGGCACAAGAAGCTGGAAGGGGGCACAGCCAGGACAGCTGACCCCAACTGGCCAAAGGGGGGTATCCTGCACCATATGACATCATTCTCAGTATTTAAGCTGGGGGAAGAAGGAGGAAGGGGGGGACGTTTGGAGTGATGGTGTTTGTCTTCCCAAATCATCGTCACATGTCATGGACCCCTGCTTTCCTGGGGATGGCTGAGCACCTGCTTGCCAGTGGGAAGCAGTGAATGAATTCCTTGTTTTGCTTTGCTTGCACATGCATGGCTTTTGCTTTACCTATTGAACTGTCTTTATCTCAACACACAAGTTTTCTCACTTTTACCCTTCTAATTCTCTCCCCCATCCCACTGTGGGGGAGTGAGCAAGCAGCTGTGTGGGGCTTAGCTGTTGGCTGGGGTTAAACCACGACACATGGACAAAATTTCAGCTTACCACATCAATCAGGTGACCCACAGTTTCTGACTGAATCACCACCAACCAAAACATTAGGAGTCATCTGTGAAACTATGTATGTTTTATATTTTCCTTCAGACCAGTGATGGACTAGAAACACAGGGATTGCTGAAGGACCTCAGAGAGATACTTTCACTACCTCATTTTAAGGACCTTCATCACACAGCCTAAGTATTACAGACCAATTTGTTCTGACATTCCATTTTTATCCTCCATGCTCCGTCAATAACTACCTGAGCATCCTGTCTCTTCTTTCAGCAGGCACTTTGATGATTCCTCGCTCCTTGAAGCCTTTTTCCAGTCCCTTTCCCTCACAACACCTAAAGCTTCTTAATATTTAACTCCTCCCATGCTAGCCAGAAGGAAAGGGGGTAAACAAGAAAGGCAGCACAGAAACCCAAACCATTTACTTTCAGGGAATATATCTTTAACCAGGCAATACGGCAAACTAACTAGGGCTGCTTCTGTATTTTCTCTCTGCTTCTGCTGCTGACCGTCAGTCCCAATTCCATATCACGGTCAACTCAAAGAGCACAATTTGGAATTATGCCTGGTTTTTCTTTACAGAGTATTTTGTACCATTTAATGACCCTTCCTGCTCAGACATAATGAAAAAATAACTGAGACTGCATTACAGAAGTCCCATTTTCACTTCCTAACCTACTCCAGGTCCAATCTAATTTTGTTTGTAATAAAATTTTTTACCCCTGGATCAATCAGATCAGTTCCAGGAGACTCATTTTGGTCAAAACAGCCTCTTACTAAGAGTATCTCCCTAGGCCTAAATAAGTGAGGGATAAAAGCATAACTGTTTTACACTCTATGTTGCAGCATTTAGCAGAAGTGTAATACTAATATTTATCTGTTGATAGGTATAACCAAGATATTTTTGAACTCCACTGAAAACAAAAGGAAAACATTTCCTGAATGACGCTTTTTTTCCAGCTGAAAACAAACTGTTTAATGAAAGTTTGTTCTTTAGTAAAAACAACATATAGGGATTTTTTTAAACTATTGCTCCAACATACGATGTCGTTCTTTCATCACATCAAATTTTAATATACTGAACAATATGCATAGCCACATAAATATTTTTAATTTCTCTTTCATAAATTTATTTTCAAAAAAGCTTCCATGAAAAAAGCTCCACATACACAAGTTAAATTTAAACTTTTTAAATGATGGATTCCACATCTGCAAAACAGATTTTGTAAAGCTGTTGTATTTGCCAAGAGCAATTCAAAGTAACTTAGGAAAAGATGAGAATGTTCTTTTGGAGAGGTAATGTGGATATTTTCCTGACCACTGAGAAGTTAAATGACCCATAATAAACACTAATTAATTACTGGGATTCAGGGGGTTTTTTTCTTTGGGTTCCCCCCCCCCCTCCCCGCCCCAATGGTTTTTCTCTTTTTTTCCACATTTTCTTTAATGTTCTTATGATGTTGTTACTAAGTCAGCATTTCTAATGGAATTAATTATTGACAGGGCTGCTGTATTACACAAATTATTAAAGGTATTTATGCAGATGCATTTCCCAGCTTGCAAGCACAGAAAATTTCTTTAAGTCCTGATTCAGCAAGCCACTGCC